GGGCTGGGGGAAGAGTGGCTGGAGAGCTGCCAGGCCGAAAAGGACCTGGGGGTGCTGGTTGACAACCGCCTGAACGTGAGCCAGCAGTGGGCCCAGATGTGGTGCTTGGGGACATGGTTTAGTGGTGGACTTGGCAGTGCTGGGTTGGACTTGATGATCCGAAAGGTCTTTTCTAACCGAAACGATTCTATGAGAGCTGGGGGGATTGACATGGCTATTCCCGACCCGTCCTTCCCATCGCTTGCTGCCGGGGTTGGTGCCGAGCTGCCAAGTCTGAGACAGGGCTGGTGGGTTCCCCCTCTATTTCTGCCGCGCGCTTTGGGTGGGAGGGGAGAATAAATAACGCAAATAAGCTGCGTGAGCTAAATACTTTCCACTCATGGTTAGGGTTTAGGATTTCTTGCTTCTCTTATTGTCTTGGGTTTTTGAACAGGTCGGAGGTTTTGCCAGAGCCCACCATGCAGATGGGCTGTAGGAGAGTTTATTTAGATGTTCCTGGGGGGAAGGGATACGGAAACCTGGCCCTGGATCATCAGATTAATGAGAAAAGCCACTTTGCCTCCTCGGATGGTCCCGATGGCTGTTGAAAAACCTGCTTTATTCTTCCTTGGCTGCCCCTGCCGTCGTGCCGTGGATCGCAACGGCTCGTTTTCCCTGACTGAGTAATTAGCTGGGCTTGTTTGCTAAGGATGTCTTAAGCCGCCACAGCGAGCGGTGCGTGGTCCAGGAATTGCTGGCAGCCCTAATAGCTCACTTCTGCATAACTTTTTATTTTTCTCCTGCCTCTTTCAATTAATTTCCTATTAATTGAGTCTGGAATGAAGTTCTCAACTGACTGATAAATCTTCTTTAAGCTTAGGAGCTAATCGGTTTTGGAGGAGGGAGAGTGGTAGTAATAGAGGCGGGAAAAAAGTGTATTAATTTTAGCACATCTCTCACATACAAACGGAAACAAATGGTAAACTGTCCTATTGGGTTAATAGGAAAAAAACGTGCTCTTGCAATACCCCAAGTCCGTCATCCTCTTGCGGTGCTGGTTGGTGTGAATATTGGTAAATATTCAATCTTGGGAGATGGTATGTACTCTTCTCCTCATAGTACTTCCAAGCATTTTATTTCTTTTTTTTTTTTTTTTGGCAAGCGGCGAAGTGTTTTCCGTAAATCTTTAAGGACCCTGAACGCTGCCACTGAGTAAAGCAGGTTGTGAGCTATAGGGGACCGGCTATGTAATTAAATTCGTTAGGAGCATTTTGTTGTCTCCAGCATCACAGAGTGCAAATGTGACCTCAAATTTTATAAGAGCTTCTCAGTATCCTTGAGGAAATTAAAAATATATATGTATGTGTGTCACAAAGTGTTCAAGAGCTTGAAAGTAGAGGGGTTTTCAGCAGTGCGTTGTCCTACGGGGATGGGGCTGAGCCTGACCCTGTCTGGGAAGGGCTACGGGGGCCAAAAACTCCCCCTCGGAAACCCGAATCAGTGATGGCTGCGCTTGACGTGTCCTCGAGTCGCGGCCAGTGCAGTCGGTACCTCGGGGTACCTGCCTCTGTGGGGTCCGGATCTCACCCCGGTATGGCTCAGTCAACTTCTCGTGAATTTTTCTTTTTCAGCAAGTTTTTAGTTTGTGTGAAATAACTGGGCCGGGGGAAGGTCGTTGTTAAACACGCCCAGGCGACGGGAAGGTGCTTTTTTTAAAAACTTAGATGCGGTCCGGTCGTGATTATTTTTAGAGGGTGTCTGTAGTAATTTCCCAAGCTGGAAATAAAGTGAGGCGGGTCCCGGCGTTGGAAGGGGCTGAGCTGTCCCAGGAGTCACGTTCCCAGAAGCGAGCGAGGAAGCACCCCAAGCGCTCCCTGTCACAGGACAGCGTGAATCGCTCTGGCATTTCTTAGCTGGCGTGTTGTTTTTCTGGGTTTTGATTTATCTGCGATGCTTAATGGCAGAGTAGTTGGTCCAAAGAGTTTCATCTCCTGGTTTTGAACAGATAAAAATCTCAGTTGTCCCAAACATCTCCCTCCGCTATTTGGTCTGATTTTCCCCCCCACACACCTTTTTCTCCGCTAACCTGTAAGCCCTCTCCCTTCCTTGCTGGCTCCGTCCCAAGCACTTGTTTTATTCTACGTCTTCCCGGCACACGCTTACAGCAATACCTGTGCGCAGAAATGAGTTCCTACCCGAGGAAATCTCTGCTGGGCGGGATGCCGGGGGCGGTTGAAATGCGCGCTGTAGAGCTGGCAGAGCAGAGGTGCTGCCCCTCTGTAGGGGGCTATTCCAGCGCGCTCCGGCGGTACGCTGTACGCGGGGCTGGGCGGTACCCCCTCGTTAGATTAGTCTGCCTCAGGTCTGTGGTGCCTATCTAATAGTAACGCTGTCCCTGCTTACACGCAGGTGGAAATGCATTTACAGAGTATTTAACAGAAAGCAGCTGGGGGGACGAGGGTCCCCAGCCGTAGGAGGGTGGGAGCGGAGCTCCCCGGCACGAGCTGTCCTGTGCTGGGAGAAGGCAGAGGTGTGAAGCCGAGGGGACCAGAGGTGCGAATGGCACGAAGGACATGAATGTCCTTTTAAACACGCCACGGTAATGGTTTTCTTGTATTCCTCAGTCAGGTCTTTGTCTCACTGGGAGGAGCTCAGAGGCACCTTACGGTGCAGTTTAAGCCCCAGAAGTGGCTCATTGTGGGGGAGCGGAGGGTAGGAAACGCAGCGTGGGCTGAAACGCTCGTCGTGGGTTTCTGTAATAGAAGTAGGTTGGACCTGTGTGTGCGTGGGGACGGGTCCCACTCATGATGGTGCTACCATCCTCTAGCAGCTTTTGTAACATAGACGGCTCTTGGTGGCTTTGGGGTTGTTTTTTCTGGTGGGTTTTGGGGCTTTAGGATTTTTTTTTTTTTTAATATAGAGGAATGACTTGCAAGGCTCAGCTGCTTGCAATGCAGCGAGCGCAGGGAGCGTTGGAGGGGCAGCGGGTGTTTCATACCGTCCCGCTCCCTCGAGAGCAGCACTTTGTCAGGGTGGAAAAGCACGCAAAGTCTTTCCTGTAGCGAGAAGCAATATTTGTATTCTGAATCCTAAATGGGGTCTTACTTTGGTGGGGTGGGGTGTATCTGGAGCAGGGAGCCGCAGGACATTTCTGCAGCAATGCCAAGGACCAGGTTCAAGGCCAGGCAAAGCACTTAACGTGCAGAAATTACTGAAGTCCCGTGTCCTATATGGTATTTCTGTACATCTCCTGGGTTTTACCAGGCTTCCAGCAAGCTGTCTCCGTGTCAGTGATCAGCGAGCATCCCTCGCTGGTCTGTGGGAGAGGAAAAACCCGAAGGACTTGGTTTTTCATCTCAGGGCTGGCAAAATGCCCCCATCGCGTCCTCCTGCTCCCCCAGCCTCCCGCTCTGTCCCCTCGTCTGCGCCGCAGCATCGTCGAGCTGGAAGGGGACGCCCAGGGAGCCGTGCCCTGGGCTTGTGGGAGCGCTGCAGGAATCTGCCGAGCTGCTAAAAATAGAACCGGTTGTGGTTTATTTATCCTGGAAAGGGAGCAGCAGGTTTTCCTGCACCGGGCCCTGAGGCTGTGGCGGCGGTTTTGCTCCCAAATCTCCTCTTCCAGGGGCCGAGCTGCCCCGTGGAGGGTGAGCGATGATTAGGAGCTGCAGTTGGGGATGTGCTGGGTATCTCGGGGGGCTGCTGGGTGCATGCAGGAGGTGCAGCGGTGGGGGGTGAATTGGGCGTCTGCTCCTAGCGCAGCCCCTGGAGTCGTAAATTTGCTGCTTTTTCCTTGAAAAATAAAAGCAGTGGAGGTGAGGGGGCTGCCGTGCCCCCGGTGCTTGAGGCGTCGTCTCTCCCGCAGCCATGAAAGCTGACCGCAAGCGCTTGAAGGTGGAGAAGACGGACCTGGTGAGCCAGATGCAGCAGCTGTACGCCACGCTGGAGAGCCGGGAGGAGCAGCTCCGCGACTTCATCAGGAACTACGAGCAGCACAGGAAAGTGAGTGCGGGAGCCTAGCACGGTGGTCTCGTGGTATGGGGGGCTGGCAGGAGCGTGAGCGCGAAACCCGGTTTGTACTCGGGCAAAAAACCCCCCGAAGCCCCAGCTGGCCTCTTGCAACGGGCAGACGCTCCCCTGCTGCGAGGGCTGGACCGCAACAGGGTAAGGATAAATAAATACCGGAGGAAATCGAGCCAGTGAGCCAGACCTGGGCAATTCGATGTAATTTTAACCAGGTGCACAGCGGGCATCCCTTTTTGGGGGACTGGCCCGCTGCTGGCAGCTCCGCACTCCTGCCCGCTGCCGTCCCTGCCGGCACGGGGCTCTCGTGACACCCGAAGGTACCGCTTGCCCTTTGGGCAGTCAGGTAGCCCCCGAGGGGGTCACGGCAGAGGGTCGGACAAGGGTTTGTAGTAGCGCATGGGCTTTCCCCGTCCTGATGGCCGCCCTGTGTCCTGGCAGGAGAGCGAGGACGCAGTGAAAGCGCTGGCGAAGGAGAAGGATCTCCTGGAGCGGGAGAAGTGGGAGCTGCGGCGGCAAGCCAAGGAGGCGACGGACCACGCCAGCGCCCTCCGCTCCCAGCTCGACCTGAAAGACAACCGCATGAAGGAGCTGGAGGCCGAGCTGGCCATGGTGAGCTCGATAACACAGCGGGCACGACTCGAGGGTCAGCCCTGCGCCGCAGCTGCAGGTGCTCGGCTCAGCAGCTTGAGTGCTTGAAACACCCCGGCGAGTTTTGCTGAAGTTAAATATTAATCGCAATATTGCATTTAAGCGGTTGCCTGCATGCGTTTGCTGCAGCGGTTGTGTTATTGCAATACTGGCAGGAAAAAAATCCATTGTTAAAAAGGAGCTGGATATCCTCGGTGCGGGGAGCGACACAATTTTTGGGTATTTATTTGCAAAGGGGCGGGTGGGTTGCTGCTGGTTCCGCTGCTCTGGGAGATGTTCATATGGTTCCCCCTGCCCCCCGCCACCTTGGTGTCCTTCCGCAGGCCAAGCAGTCCCTCGCCACGCTGACCAAGGACGTCCCCAAACGCCATTCCTTGGCCATGCCGGGCGAGACGGTGCTGAACGGCAACCAGGAGTGGGTGATGCAGGCCGACCTCCCGCTGACGGCACAGATCAGGGCGCAGGGCCAAACCCATTTTGGGGAGCTGCCTTATTCCCCCATAGGGGACAAAAAAGGGGCCAAACGCCCCAAAACTAGGTTTTTTGGAAGTGCCTCAGAGGCTTTGCGTGGGGTCAGGGGTTTGCTGGCGTGATGTTAACTCCCCGATGCCCCCCCTGCCTTCCAGCGGTCAGAGTGAGCCCCTGTCATTCCCGGCAGCCGTCCATCATCTCCGACGCCTCAGCGGCCGAGGGCGACCGGTCGTCCACGCCGAGCGACATCAACTCGCCCCGGCATCGAACGCACTCGCTCTGCAACGTAAGGCGCTATGTGATGGGGGGCTTGCTCTGATGGGGGGCTTGCTCCGCCGCTGCGTGCAGCTGAGGATGCTGTGGGTCCTCTGCTTCCAAAAATGCTGTTGGTTTTGGGGTGGGGGTATGGGGTGGAGGTTTGCTGACCTGGAGAGCTGCTTTCCTGGGGTTTATCCCAGCCTCACAGGGATGCAGCCCCCTGGACGAGCTGCTTTTTGCTGGGGTGGTGGTGGGGTCCCGGGCTCTGTTGGGGCTGATGCAATTGGATCCGTTTGCTTCTGCCGCAGGGGGACAGTCCTGGACCGGTACAGAAGAACTTGCACAACCCAATCGTACAGGTAGGGCACAAAGCCCTCTTTAAATCCTGCTCGTGAGACCCAGTGCTGTGCTAGGGAGTGATTTCAGGAGGCTCAGGAGCGCTGATCTGGGTTTTTACAAAACAAGATCATCCTAAATTCTTAAATTAAAGTCAGGGGTGTCTCAGGTTGCCATGATTTGCCCCAAAATGCAGGTAATGCCATAGGTGGTTGCTGTGCTCAGGGCCCATCGTGGTCTTGATTTTGGTAAGGCATGACCTAGATCAGGTTATTCTTCTGTATTTCATCCTAAAACGGCAGGGTTTTTGAGCAAGCCGTGGACAGAGCCTTGCTCTGACCATCCGTACGTGCCTGGAGCTGAAACCCGGAGCTGGGTGAATTAAGAGGCCAAAATCCCTCAACGTTGCTTTGGACCCGGACCTTGTGGTCCGTCGTCCCCGGTGTGGGGCTGCGGGGGGTGGCAAATGAAAAGCTCGGTGGCTGAGCTCGTGTCCTCTCCTCCCGCAGTCTCTAGAGGACCTGGAAGACCAAAAACGGAAAAAGAAGAAAGAGAAGATGGGCTTCGGCTCCATCTCCAGGGTGTTTGCCCGGGGGAAGCAGCGCAAGTCCCTCGACCCCGGCCTCTTCGACGGTACGGCCCCCGACTACTACATCGAGGAGGACGCGGACTGGTGACCCCCCCGTGCCGGGCGCCTTTCCCCGGCCTCGCCGTCGCCGATGTACATACTCCCACCCGGCCCCGCCTGTGGACGTGTTACCTGTCGTCTTGGGAGCGATGCAGCTGTGTTGTAACTTCAGTTTTTTTCCCTTTTTTTGGTGGTGTTTTTTTTTCCATACTGGTAACTCCTTCGTTGGTCGCTTCAGTTTGTCGGTTTGGGTTGTTTTTTTTGTTGGTTGGTCTTTTTTTTTTGTTTTATTTCCTCCTTCTTTTGACGAAACTTGAAACTTGAAGGACTGCTGTGTCTCTGTAAATACCAGAAATGTTGTGCACTTTGTGCTTGTGACGTCTCTTGTCCGAAACCCGCTGTTTTCTGGAGCCCAGCCCGCGGGATGTCCTCGCTCGGGGACGAAGGACCTGCCCAGCTGAGGGACCTTAGAGAGAAAACACACACACACACACACACACACACAAAAAAAAAGAGGTATCTCGTTTGCTGTGATGTCTTCCTGACCGAAGCCCGCGGAGGCGACACGGGCTGGTTGTTAACGCCTGCCGGTCTGGAAATAAGTGTTTTAACATTCCTTTTTAGTTGTTTTAATTTATTTGCACAAACCCAGAGGAGCTATTCTAACTAAATTATTGCAGAAGTTTTGGGATTTTTATATTTTTCCATGTCGGTTGGGATGGGGCGGGGAGGAGGAAGGGTGTGTTTGTACTGTACTGTCCTGGGAAGCCAGATGCCCCAGGAGCACTTAACGCCTTGGAAAACACGAACCGAAATCCGTGCTGGGAAATCAGACGGTGGAGGAAGCTGGTGGGAGCTTTGCCCGCTGTTTTTCCCCGCATGTGGGGGGCTCGCCCTTTGCTTTGAGTAAAATTTGGGGGATCCGGCATGAGCTGGGAGGAGGGGAAAGGAGATATCCCGAGATATCCCTGTATCCTGAGACGTCGCCCATCCGGGGCCGGTCGCCCCGCTCCCGTTTGGGGCAGTATCGCCGTCGGGGAGGGCCGGGGAAATTGGTACGAGTCCCCACTGGGGAGGTTTTTCTGGCGCCGGGGCGATTTTTAAGCGCAGGTGGAGCTTGTGCTTCCAAATCCCCTGGAAATGCCCCAAAACCGCCCCCCCGGTGCGGCGGCCGCTTCCCCTCTCCACTAACACGCACCGCGCTCTGCTTATGCCAAGATAAGTACCTTATGCTTTAATGCTTACGATATAATTTTAAGCTCTTAAAAAAATGTATTAAGATTTATTTAATGATGCTATCATAGTGTATTATTTTTCTTAATTCCGATACGTGCGCCCTGGTTGAAAAAGGGGTATTTTGTCTGAAGTCACCGAACTAAACCGCCGCTGCCCTCGCGCTGTGTATTGCTGCGAACGGGATGATGCGGAGAGGCCACGGGGGGTGGCAGGGCAGGGTTTGCCCCGTGGCATCTTTTCTCTGCAGAGAAGCATTTTTATACGTTTTGTTGGTGTTTTGTTTTTTTTTTTTTTTTTTTTTTTTTTTTTTTTTTTTTTTTTTTTTTTTTTTTCCTTTTTTTGTTCTCCTTGCGTTTTTATAATTTAAACTATAAACCACGGGAACAGATGAGCAATCTCCTTGTTATCGAGTAGTTTCCTTTGCATTTCAGCTTTTTTGTAAATTAGGAAATAATTCTAAAAATTACTAAGAGGATGATTTATTTAAAAGAGAACTTCAATAAATAGCATATGAATTATGGGTAACATTAGATTTAACTTTTCCCCGTGTGAGTGGGGGAGAATCCTTGAAGGCATGGATGCAAATATAAAATTATAAAAGATCTAAATAAAGCTTATTTTAAAGTACGGATGAGCTCCATGTGATTTAATTGCTTGCCTGATGGAGATCCCGAGCTGACGCCGGCGGCGGCAGGCAGGCATCGCTGTGGGGGCGCCGGGCGCGAGCCACGTGAGTGCGAGGGGTGGGTGAACGTCACCGCAGCCCCGGCTGCCGTGCGCACCGGGGGCCCTGGGGTGATGGGGGGATGCAGGCGAAGGCTGCATCCCTGGACCAGCTTGTTCCCACGAGCGGTTGCCAGCCGAGTGCTTGTACCTGGCCGCGGTGCTGCTGGTGGGAGGCTGGGGCCGCCAGCGCATCCGTATAAAATGGGGAATTAAGGTAAGTGGAGATTTGGGAATGGGGGGGAACAGCCAGGAGATGTCCCCCATGGATACGGAAGATGTACAGCCAGGAAAAGCAGGTGGGACAGAAAGGAGTTGTTCTTGTGCTGTAACACTTGCTAGGAGATAAATTATTTATAATAAATTATTATTATAGTAGATAAATATTATTATATATATTGTAGATGTTATTATTATAGTAGAGAAATTATTGTTAATAATGTACAGGTGGATAAATTATTATTATTGATTTACGGATGGCGTTTGTCCCTTT